TCCGACAGCTTTCACCCAAGCGCGGGTGTGCCACAGGGATGCATAATTTCACCGTTGCTCTTTAATATTTACACCGAGCTTGTGATGGGAATCACTCTGGAGAACTGGAACGAAGGTGTTGTCATTGGTAGGTATAAAATTTCAAACTTGCGATACGCACATGATACCACCTTATTTGCAAGCAATGCGGATCTCATGCAGGAATTACTTCGCAAAATGGAACACGTAAGCCGGAACTTTGGATTGAAAATTAACCAATCTAAAATAAAAATAATGATCGTGGACCGCGTCAAAGACAACTCGCCAGAAGTTACACATATTGCGAATTGCGACGTGGTTCAATCCTATACATATCTTAGAGCCTTCATATCCTACAGGGGTGGTTGCGTGGATGTAGTTAAGCGCCGTATGGCTATGGCCAGAACTGCGGTGGAGAAGCTGAAGAGAGTTCTTAGGAATCACAACATCACTGAAACCACCAAGGTCAGCCTTATGCGGGCGCTGGTAATTCCATTTTTCCTCTACGCGGCAGAGACGTGGACAGTAAGTGAATTGGAAAAGGGGAAGATAGATGCTCTAGAGATGTGGTGCTGGAGGAAGATGCTTGGTGTATCGTGGACTGAGTTCCGCACCAACGTATCCATACTCCGAGAACTCGGCATCACGAAGCGTCTATCAACCATAGTACAGACGCGCCATAGTACTTTGGCCATGTCTCCCGTCGTGATAACAACTTGATAGAGCGGCTGGTCGTGCAGGGGAAGGTAGAGGGAGCCAGATCACGAGGCAGATCACCTATGCGCTGGACAGATCAAGTCAAATCGGCAACGGGAAACCCAGTGTCAGTCTGCGCTGGACAATCCACAAACAAAGAGAGATGGCGGGAGATCGTGAGGAAAGCTGTATCGGCATCCAACACAAATACGCCCGCCTCAACGTAACCACGACCGCTCTGCCATGAACGAAACGACAGAGAAGAGAATAATTGTCAAAATCTAAGTATAGGTAATGTTTTACAATGAAATCATTATATTATGACAATAGTACAAATTATTTCATAAAATAAATGTTGTGGCCTCATACTTACTTCTATGAACCTCTTTTTTCTAAAGCAGAAGTGAATAGTAAAGAAAGACTGAATAGAGAACATGGCCACACATTACAATAATTTCATTGCCTAATACCTACTTCCAATAATTTTGACAAGACGCTTCTCCTCTCTCCTACCAATTTCAAATGTTGCTGCGCCCGACGGGGTCAGTAATTATTGTTACTAATATTGCTTCTGACCACCTGTATACGTGTATGTTGGATGACATTATGGATGCAATAAACACTTGACTACTTGATGTAATATACAATATTGGAAAAATTTGCTTAATTTACATACATTTATTTATATAAAATACTTTACTCATATAAAATATACTATAATATACCTAATAAATATATTAAAATAACAACTAAAGTACGTGTAACTAAAGTAAGTGTTTAAAACATTTAATTTTGTCTATCGACGAGGAATTATCTACATCAGCAGAAATAAACTAAGTAGGCTAACACTAAAGTCCATACGGTCATTCATTTGGTTGTGTTTGAGTAAGCACAAATGCTGGATAGCAACAAAGTGATGTTTAATCTAACATAATATGTAGTGTCACTGTTGTGCAATAAGGAGGCCTATCAACTCAGAAGTATGACGCATTACGTGCTCTCGTAATCAATCGAGTTGATATACCTGTGCTGAGCTATGTTCTTTGCCGGACACTCAGCGTCACCCGTCTTATGATTGTTGGGCTTATTAAACCGAGAGCATGTTGCACATTTAGGGGATTATCCTTTTTTCGTGCACGCCGCTGTTAAAAGGGCTATTTCTCCGCAGTGTCCACATGATGGGGGGTCTCGACATGATTTAGCTGCATGTCCTTACTGTTGACAGTTATAACACCTGGTGAATAATGTAAAATCCATAAAAAGGTGAGTGTGCGGGGGAAATGCACAACTTGATTCCCCTAGTCCTTTCCATCATCGTACCACAAGACAATCGGCGAAGCGTCACCGATTCATGGTAGATGTTCCGCCCACACGCACGAAGTGCTTCGCTTCAAGCTCCCTTGTGCGTACTGCTAAAGGGTGGAATTCTTTGCCAGAGTCTGTATTTCCTTACTTCAAGGCCCGAGCGAAAAGGTTGCTTATGGGACAACGTGCTCCATCGTAGACCGCATCATCGCTTACCACCAGGCGAAATAGTGGTCAAACGTCGCCCCATCAAATATATAATATATAAAAAAATCCCTTACATGGCAAGAATTCCAATTTATATATATATATTCTTTCCTGACCTATAAGGACATTGCGGATGTTGGCTGGAACTTCTAAGATACGGTTACAGGTCGGCGCATCCTCCTTTTCGGATTTGTGGCTCAGTTTAATTGCTGTTAAAAAGGAATCCATGGTCATCTCTGGAAACTCCTCAGCAATGTTTGTTGTATGTATGTTATATGTATGTTGTAATGTTATATGTACTTAAATACGTCAGTGTCAACTAAAGAAGTGCCTAATAGGACGCCTACCACAGTGATTCGTGGCTGGCGTTTTTGGGCTCACCGATGACAAGACCAGACGACGACTGATGAACTGCCTGCTTGACCTTCTCAGCATCCTGTTTGTTGTCTGTGCTAATTACTATGCCTCCGTTTTGGATTTTTCGGACTCCACGTACACACGGCTACACATCGAGCTTTACATAACCAGTATAAACCGAACGTTAATTGTGCGGAAAGATGATGCGACGCGATACCAGGATAAACTGGTTTTGTATAGATTGATGTGTGGCCATGTGTACGTGTAGCTTTATTTGGTCAGGCCGTATGATTTGTTGTACCAGAGATTTGGTTTCGTCACTTCACTTTACTAATTTACTCACTGGGTAAATTGCTACAGAATTTTGCTTTTGGAGTTGCACAAAATCATTTGGTCCTTTCTTCACCATATCGGCAAAAGAGACGTCCTTAGTTGCGGCAGAGTCGTTGATAGCCTTTTTCAACACCATAATTTCTTCCGCTAGGTCCCGTTTTTCTCTAAGGTCGTCAATTATATAGAGGGCTTGTTTGGCTTTCTGTTTCAAAGACTGAACGAGACTGCTATTTGCGATACACCTGATTCTATTTTGCGGCTCAAGTTAGTAATTCTTAATTTCTGCTCGGAGTTGAGTTTGCCTTCTGTGGCAATAATGCAGACTTCGTTTAACTGCTTCTCGATGGTTGACATCCATTTTTGGAGTTTTGACGTGGATACTACTTCTATACAGAAGCTAGGTTGCTGGTTTTTCTCTTGCAAGGTACAGGCACGGATATTACTGGGACTATTCTCCATTTTGTCTTCACTTGTTCACTACGTTTATGTTTTCATATTTGTAGAAAAAAACTGAGTAATAAGCAACAATATGAAAGGAGGTGACAAGTTTTGCGTATTGCTAATGCGCACGTCTGTTCACTACGAACGGCAACAATGTTAGTAGCGTAACGTATGTCAGCTTAGTGAATACCAAACGATAATTTCGTCGCTGCAGCAGCGCTGCAGGCAACGCTGTATCCTCAGAAATCAGAACTGCTGTTTTAGGAGTTTAGGTACGCTGCGATATGCGATATACTACTGTCTGTCTGTCTGTATATTCTGTTATATGCGTCCGAGTTACAATACTTTAGGATAATATTACCGTGGCGTCCGAGGGCTGGGCTCGCTCAGAGGGCTGGGCTCGCTGCCGTTGCAGCGATAAGTCCCCTCTTTGAGGAGTGGCTTGAAAGACGCTACGGCGTCCTCACCTACCGCCAGACGCAGGTCCTCACCGGACATGGAAGTTTCAGGAGGTACCTGTGTCTGATGGGGCGGAAGGAAACGCCCGGGTGTCATCACTGCGAGGACCGCCTTGAGGACACGGTAGAACACGTAGTGGGAGAATTCCCTGCGTGGGCTGAGCAACGCCGTGCCCTCAGGGACGTGATCGGCGATGGTGACCTCTCGCGTCCGGGCCTAGTGCGGGTCATGATGCGGGGCGAGGGAAACTGGGATGCCGTCTCCTCCTTTTGCGAAGCAGTCATGCTAGCTAAGGAGGAGGCGGGACGCGAGAGATAAACATAACATCACGCATTTTATTCCCAAAGGGGTAGGCAGAGGTGCATATTATGCCACTGTACAATTGCCATATACCGGGCACAATTCCAGACTCCGTGCTACTACTGAGAATTTTTAAAAACATCTATACTAATATTATAAAGCTGAAGAGTTAGTTTTTTTTTTGTTTGTTTGTTTAAACGCGCTAATCTCCGAAACTACTGATTAGAATTGAATAATTATTTTTGTGTTGGATAGTCCATTAATCACGCTGCGACCAATGGGAACGAATAAAACGGTTATAAATATGTAAAAAACGAGGAAAATTATTCATCTTTGAGGGCTTCCGTTGCGTGCGCTGCGAATACAGTTCAAGATACACAAATGAAATGTATGAAAGAATTATTTGTCTTAAAATGATCTACAAAAAAGGCCGTGACACGTGTTGTTGGTAAGAGTATTTTATTGTGAATGTAATTGTCATTGACATCACTTAGTTTTAACGAACAACAGCATAACATAGGGGATGGAAGTTGGTTTGACACTTCGTCAGTTTTCCACATACCGAGTTCAAATTCGGCAGAAAGATGTTATGACTTAAACGTTTCCTACAAAAGGATTTTGAATTTGATAATTTCAACCCCCAATTGGCTAAAATAGGGGATGAAAGTATAAAATAGGAGGAGTTTGTATAAATCGTCTTAGCTATTGAATCTAAAATTATTGAAACTGTTTGAGTTACATTCGGTAAAACGATAATTTGAGACCTGGGAAACGATGTATGATAGGTTTTATCATAGAAGTCCCGCGAGAACGGGAACTATGCGTTAAAGCTGACAGGGTCGCCATGCAATGTGGAGCAATAAAGGAGACGTGTTGTTCTAAGGAATAACTTTAATTAAGTATCTTAATAACTAACTTCTGATACTTACTTGTCGAGGTGTGGCACACGCTACAGGAACACTAGTGTGGCGGCTGCAAGGGTAAAATGAGGGGGATCGTGAGATCTTGTTTGGCGGTCTTCCGCTTCTGGAAGTTCTTCAAGTCTGCGAAGTCCCTCTCGATACCGGTAGTGGTCGCAGTGGTTGTGGCGATGGAGTCGGTCAGGTCGCCTGGTGCGGCGAATAGCTCGCTAGCGGAGCGCCGTCCGGTCACGATGTCCAGCAGCGGCACTAGGTAGGCATCTTCGGCCGGCCGCCCAGCCGGTGGTTCGGGCGCAGTTGAAGGTAGACTCATAGTGACCGCGACCTCTTGGAACGTATTAGTGCGCCGCTCGAGCTCCACGGCCTCGCCCGTCAGTTTGATGTAGTTGTAGTGGCGGCGCAGCTGGTCTTCTCCACTAGAGCGCACCTGTTGGCTGGTCTCCAGGATGTGGTCCATAACGTGGTAAGGGTTGTTGAGGATTACGTCCCGGCGCAGTGGAGCAGATGCAGCGGCGCGCAACCGCTGACTGCGCGCGCTCCCGCGCAGCATGTGCTCGGCGCGCGCCGCACTAATGTTGTTAGAGAATCGAGTATTGAACAGGAATCTGTCGCCTGAAACAAATAAACATGCTGTTTGCTACGCTCACTATGCCAACGTCGCAGACACCGGGAGACCGGGACACATGACGTTGACATAGTGAGAGTGGCGCACGGCGGGTGCCCGCGGCGTACGTACCTGTTGAAGTAGCCCGCGACGGGCGCGTGGCCGCCGCCGCAGGTGGCAGCCGCGAGTCGGGCCTGCAGCCACACCACCACCATGATCTGAAACATACTACGCTATAATGCACCGCAAGTCCTGAGACAATCCTGAATGGTCGCCAGCCTGTGTAATTACGCGACTATTCCACAGTAGAGGATGATGTGATGAATGACGATGTTGATACAGTATGATAAACAGAAATGTTCCATATTATTACAAATGCTTATTTGTTTTGTCGAAATAAGGTTACACCAAATAGTAAAAAACTCTATTCACAACTTACTGGAAGAGTGCTTCCTCTCATTGCGGAAAGGCGGAAACAGGTTACGTACTTGTCACCGTCTCGCTCGTGTATTACACTCGCTCCGGAGTAGCTGAAGAGTGAGGAATTTGTTTATACTTATTAGTCGATCCCGGATTCTTGCCACTGCATATTGCATAATTTAATGTAAATGCATATGTATTTACATTAAATTTACTGGTGGAATAACTATCTAGCCGAACAACGTAAATGCTTTCGTAAAGCGCGCAAACCTATTGTTGATCGAAGGCGCAAACAGTTAAATAGACTAAAGGAACATAAGATAACCGATACCGGTTTTGCTGAAGCACTGATTGCGTTTAGAGTGGCCAGGGCACGCTATAGGTCTTCGGTGGAGAAAGCCAAGGGTGATTTGCTACGGTCGGTTGTACAGAAATTAGATAGGGAGGGCTCGTGGTCTCCTCTATACCATGAGTTCAAAGCCATTAAATGCGTCGATCTGGCATTCGTACAGAACATAAAAGTCAACAATGTTCACACCACTGGTATTGAGGAGACAACAGAAGTTCTACTCGACGAACTTGTCCCTGACGATGTATTCGAGACAGACAATGATTGGCATCAACAGATTACATCATGGGCAGCTATACCGCCTGAATCACCAGTCTTCTGTCCATCAACGTTCTCGTAACTATTGTTAAAACTTTGCCTTTAAATAAATCATCTGGTGAAGACAAAGTCTCAAACAAAATGATAATAGAAGCATCTAAATCCGCAGCTGATGCGATCATAACTGTATTGAACCCTTGTATCGCGGAAGGTGTATTTCCTCGTGTATGGCGTGGATTCATTCAAGACCCTAAGTCATACCGGCCTATCACGCTTTTACCATCTTTACGGAAACTGTTTGAGCGACTTATCGTTTCTCATTTACTGCCAGGTGGACCAAAATTCCACAACAATCAATTTAGTTTCACTGTGGGAAAGTCTACTGTCGACGCGGCTCTCTATGTCCGATCCAAAGTAAATTCGTCTAAGCGCAAGTATATATTTAGTAGGCATTTTTCTGGACATTTACGGCGCCTTTGATAACGCATGGTGGCCAATGTTACTCTTAAAGCTGAAAGATCGTGGCTGTTTTAGTGACATATATAAATTAATATACACGTATTTCTTTCACGGTTCCATTAAACTGAAGGTTGGTCATTGTTCTCGGTCGAAGTCGTTATCAATGGGATGGGATGTCCTCGGGGTTCGGCTATTAGTCCGTATTTATGGAATTTAGGGTTTGATGATTTGCTCGCGATTCCCCTTGCTTGTGGCTGTACTTTGACTGGATATGCGGATGATGGCCTTTTGCTAGTACAGTCAAATACCCGCGCCGGACTGGATAATTTGGCTAAAGACTGTCTCAGTAGGATCTCGCGATGGGGCGAACAAAATCGCTTGACTTTTGCACCCCATAAAACTTACCAGCTATTGCTTAAAGGAAATCTGAAGTCATGGCGGTCTATTAAATTTAACAACGGTTCCGTAAAACGAAAGGAGTCTGTTTGCTATCTCGGTTTAATTTTAGAAAAAACCTTTTCTTTCATTGAACATATTAAGGCTATTAGGGAGAAAGCCAAAAATAACTATACTATGCGCTGACCCGAATTTCGAAAGAAACCTTTTCGAAAGAAACCCCTGTTTTGTTACGCTCAGGATCATATTATACAGAGCAACCTACCGGGGAAACATGTGCTACGAGGCACCTGTCTGGGCTGATATGGCCACAATAGGCGCGGTACGGTGAAAACTTCTCCAAGCTCAGCGTCTAGACTTCATTTTCCTGCGTAAGGCTTATGAGACGGTTAGCACTGAGGCCCTACCTGTGCTCGCAGGTTTGCTCCCGGTCGATTTTGAGGTGCAGCGACGTGCTGCTATGTACTACAATGCGAGACCTAATTTGTCGGCAAGTTTTTAGCACAACGTGATCGAAATAAAATTGCTAGATAGTTTAAGCCATTAACGGACGTTTGGGATGAGCTTATACCTGAATGGCAGTGTTGGTGAGAATCTTCTTCTCTACAAATGCCTGCGACTATAGGCCTGTGGCTGTCCTATGTGCTCCAGCTAAGGTTTTCAAGTCAATGATCCATAACAATTTATATTCTCAGGTAAGCGCCCACCTCACTGATGCTTAGCATGGCTTTCGCCCCGGTCGGGGAACAACGGGCATATTGCAGTTGATGACGCAAGTGGTGCCTGCAGTTGATATCCTAGCTAATCTAACACTTATAATATCCTATCCTAGCTGTGCCTAGCGTATAATGCGTATAGGCTTGGTGCACTGTGGTATACTGGAATACAGATCAGCACTTCTACGCGCCTACTACTAGGCCCTTAACCTAAGGCACGTACTATCGTGGTACACTGTGGTATGCTGTGATACAGAACTACGCTTCGTACGCGCCTAATGCCCTAGCCCTAAATTCCCTAGACCCTAGCCCTACTACACGTATTTATATATACTTATATAGATAGGTGCTGGATATCTGCCACCTGAGACCTAAGATGGCAGACGGAATGTGGGTAGGAATGGGGTATGGTGGTGAGGGTTTGCTCACTGCCTGTCGAGCAGACTCACATGACAGATCGGTCGATGGCTAAAGGTGTCTTGGCCACAGTAAGAGCAGGAGCTTCCTCCACCGAGTGGTGGAGGAAGGGTAGTGAGTCAAAGTCGGAATCAACTAGTGACTGTTTTATTTCTTATCCTACTCGATCTTATATACTAAACTTATCCTATGTACACACATACCACACTATGATTGTGTGCTATGCGTGTAATGTACCATCTCAGCGGTATATCCTTACGTGAGTACGTGATGTTTTTCTTAGTTTTATACTCCGGAATTAATATGTGTACGAGCTACGCTGTACATTGACTTTGTCGTCATACGCGCGAATAATTAAATCATCGTAATCAGCATTTCGGAACATTGTAAACTACATAATTAATTTAATTCAGTAGCAATAAAACTATCTAAGAGATTGGTCGTCTACTCATTTAACATTAACAACATCCAACATTGCAACATAAACTTATAATCAACACTGTAGGGAGTTACAACCCCTACATTTGTGGTCCTTCGAGCAACGGTGTGATTCACTATTTATTTACGTTAGCGAATCGGTTGCACTGGCCTCCCAGAAGCGGGTCTCACCAGTGATCAATTGAGAAGTCGCAAAATATCGTAAGTAAAGGTGATCACACAATAAGAACCGAGACAGTGGAGCGATAGTCTGCATTGATATA